TTCAGAATCCCCTTCCCCTCCCCCATTTCTGATGAAGGGTCTAGGCCCGAAACGTCAGCCTTCCTGCTCCTATGATGCTGCTTGGCCTGCTGTGTTCATCCAGCTCTACACCTTGTTATCTCAGATTTTCCAGCATCTGCAGTTCCTACTATCTCTGGACAATATCCAGGCTTGGGCTGACAAGTGACAAGTAACATTCACACCACACAAATGCCAGGCAACAACCATTTCAAAAAGAGACAATCTAACCATAGATCCTTGACATTCATTGGTGTTACCATCTTTAGATCCTCCACTATCAATATCCTGGGAGTTACCGTTGACCAGAAACTCAGCTGGACTCACCACATAAACACAGTGGCTACAAGAGCAGGCCAGAAGCTGGGAATACTGTGGCGAGTAACTCACCTCCTGACTCCCCTAAGCCTGACCACCATCTACAAGGCACATGTCAGGAGTGTGATGGAATACTCCCCACTTGCCTGGATGGGGGCAGCCCCAACAACGGTCAAGAAGCTTGACACCATCCAGGACAAAGCAGCCCACTTGATTGGCACTACATCCACAAACATTCACTCCCTCCACCACTGATGCTCAGCAGTGGATACTATCTACAAGATTCTTCGACAGCACTTTCCAAACCCTTGACCTCTTCCATCTAGAACGACATGGGCAGCAGATATGTGGGAACACCACCATCCTGCCTTGGAAATATATCGCCGTTCCTTTGCTGTCACTGGGTCAAAATCCTGGAATTCCCTCCCTAATAACATTGTGGGTCAACCCACAGCAGGTGAACTGCAGCGGTTCAACATGGCAGCTCACTACCACCTTCTCAAGGGGCAACTAGGCCCGGGCAACTAGGCCCGGGCAATAAATGCTGGGCTCAGCCAGGGATGCTCACGTTCCAGGAGTGAATAATAAAAAAACCACAGACAAAACCCCACATTTCTGCACCAAATCTTACACAATTCACAGCCAAGCTCCTGGGAGTTAATCGTTAAATTCTTCTGAGCTCTCAGCCCCAGTACCCTTCATGTGGGTCATTCCTGTGAGAAGTGTCAGTGGGCAAGCCAAGCTGACTGTTCCTGACATGACCCCCACACAACACCTCCTCCAACCCTTTGACCCTATCCCTTTTATAATGGTCCCCATTAAAACATCATAAACACATTACCTGAGGCCATTCCCATGGAAGGTCAATGTTTTGTAACCTCGTAATCCTTTCAGTCTGTTATTTGCCCTGTTCTAGACAGACACACTCAATGCCGATGTTATTTCCACACTGGAAATGAGGAACTTCACCAAGGTGAGCAAGCTTGGATGTAGCGTAAAGCTCCCTCCTTCTTGGATAGGAGTCAATGAGCATCATCTGGTCCTGCTCAATGGAAACAATTCATCCCTTTCTTAACTGGGTTCTGCAAGAGTAGGTTTCGCGTGTCAATATGTGCAATATCGGTTCTGTTACAATGTTGGAATTATTGAGATTAACCCTTTACCATGGAACCTGTCTCTATTTCATGTCCAGGGCTGTTTTTATTTACAGCATTCATGTCCAGGGGTTTTAATTTTCATATGTGTAAAGCCCAGTTGGATGGGATTACAATCCCACAAGGTTTTCAGTTACTAGGTTGAGCTGGAGAAGCTGAGGGTTGTTCTCCACAGGGGTAGAGACAGAGGGGAGGTTTGATTGAGGTGTACAAATGGTGGATAAGGAAACACGTTTCCCTTTACAGGAACATAGGAGTAGGCCATTCAGCCCCTCAAGCCTGTTCCACCATTCAATGGGATCATTGGCCTAACTTCATTTACCTGTTAAGTAAAGGTATTAAGGAATATGGGCCAAAGGATTTATCTATCTCAGGTTTAAACTTAACAACTGATCCAGCATCCACGGCCATCTGTGGAAGGGAGATACAGCTAATTAGACAAGGCCTGGTGATCCAGATTTATGGTTTTGGGTAAAGGATAAAGGGAGATGTAAGAAGGAATTGCTTTGTCCATACAGTAAGTAAGCATGATCTGAAACCCACTGTCTACAAAAGGGCTGGGATGAAGCAAATTTTAAAAAAAATGAGATGGGCATTTCCAATCAATGTGGTGGCAGCAAGGTGGGAAACAGGATGAACTGTATTTTTCAACAGACAGTGTCATTGACTTGAGGAACCAACTCCGTTGATATTGTTAATGACACAGTGATAGTCTCAGGAACTGAAGGTCTACAGAAGAATGAATGGTACAGGAGAAGTTTCCCAGAGAACTGGTTGATAGCACATCCAAAAGGCTGTGCTGGAGAAAGTCTGCACATCTGCCAGCATCTGTGGAGATTTCTGAAGTTATCGTTTTGAGCCCGGTATTTATTTCCAATCTCCAGTGTCTGCAGTGTTGAATTCCACTGAATCTGATCTAGGAATCCTGCCAGAGTGTAACACCAAGGCAAGGCCACAGGGAGAGTCTAACCCCATTCCTTTCCCACCCCAAACGGTAAAAGTTTCAACCAATGAGACGGCTAGCTGCCCCTAACTAAAGGGGTGATAACATGTACCTGAAAGGTGTTCCCATTGGGTTGACACTGGGGTAATGTCTGCATTACTTCATTTGGTAATAAAACACAGGATTTTCTTTTGTCTGTCGTACGTTACTTCCAAAGACGAAGAATGTTCTAATGACAATCCAACAGGGAACACCAGAGCAAGTTCTTCACAAAGAGTAAATGGGAAACTCGCAGGGAATAGGTGATCCAAATTGCGTGGAAAAAATTGGATAAATACATGATTGAATTGGATGATCAACCATTATTGTATTGAATGGCGGCACAGGCTTGAGGGGCCAAATGGCCCACTCCTGCTCGAGTCTTCTATGTTACATCCTGCCGCTGCTTTAGTTGTATCTGGATTGGAGACTAATATCCATATTTCACCAATATGCATGTGGGTACCACTTGCTAAACCAGATATGACATGAAATGGTTGTCCTGGTCGTGAAAATGTCCAAATGGAAATAAACTGAAGCTGGGTTTTGAAGGTTTCCTTGACAGGATTGGGATTATTCTCTCTGGCAGCTTGTTCCATGCTGGATTCCAAGATTGGGAAGAAAGATTGTTGATGTGATGTCTTAGAAACAAATGGTCTTTGTGGTTTGCAGGATGACCACCTCGTAGATTGTCATTGCCAGAGGAAGGGAGCAGCTACTTTCAATTTCTACCTGTTCAGGTGAGGGAGAAGGAGGAAGGGGTGGCACAGTGGCTCACTGGTTAGCACTGCTGCCTCACAGCACCAGGGATCCCGGTCTGAATCCAGCCTCAGGCAAGTGTTTGTGTGGAGTTTGCATGTTCTCCCTCTGTCTGTGGGTTTCCTTCGGGTGCTCTGGTTTCTTCCCACAGTCCAACGATGTGCAGGTTAGGGTGTATTGGCCGTGCTAAATTGCCCCATAGTTTCCATGGATGTGCAGGCTAGGTGGTTTAGCTGTGGGAAATGCACGGTTACAAGGATAAGATGGTGGCGGGGGGGGGGATCAGGTCTGATTGGGATGCTCTTCAGAGAATCAGTATAGACTTGATGGGCCAAATGGCCTGTTTCCACACTGTAGGGATTCTATTTTATGAAAGGGTATGGTCATAGACTGAGATGAAGCAAGGTCAGAGGGAGACTTCTGTGGAATATTAGCACATGTAAGTACAGTCCCATTGGACCAAATGGCCAGTGACTTCGTGGCAGAGGATTCCATGGTTAAGGGAAACGTTTACGTTGTTAGACATGTTTCAGCAGTGAGGGAATGGCTGACTGCCAGGCTGTAAGATCACCAGGCAGCTAGTGCAGGAATCCTGTAAGCCCATTGTGCTTGCTAATCGGTATTCCGTTTCAGATGCCGGTGAGGGTGATGGTTCCTCAGGGCTGTGCAACCACAGCTAAGTACATGGTCATACGCGTGGGTCAGCTGTACAGGGCAGGCTGAAGGAGAAACAAAGTCCAAAAGTGACAGTGTATGCCACTGTCAGGGGATCAGACAGGCATTTCTGTGGCCATCAATCTGTGTCACTGGCTCTGAGGAGCGGATTGTCATGGGCCTGGTATCAGGGAGTACTTAAGCCCCAAACTTAAGTCCCTCCCTCCCTCTTCCTCAAACTAAAAAAACAGGGGAAAGAGAGGCATGCGATTCAAAATTTGTTGGTAGCAGAGTGAGAAGCAAGGCATTGGTTCAAGAGGCTTCAGTGAGCAGCGGCTCAGCAAAAAGTACATGGAAACTCAGGTAAAGTCCTTTTGACTTTCCTCTTTAGTCTTAGAGCAGTTGGGATGGTAGTTAGGGCAGTGACATCCTCTTTCTGCAGGATGTGGGAGCTTAGGGAGACTTCCATCATCCCCGATAACTATGCCTGAGGGAAGTCCACCCAGCTGCAGCTCCTGGGACACCATGTTATGGAGCTGGAACTCAAGCTGGAAGCACTCAGGATCATCCGAGATGCTGACCGCATCATAGATAAGAGTTTTAGTGAGATGGTCACAGATAAGGTGCAGGCAGAGAGTAGCTGAGTGACCACCAGGAAAGGCAAAGGGAGTAGGTAGAGAGTTCAGGAATCCTCTGTGGCCATTCCCCTCGAAAACAAGTATACTGTTTTGGATACTGTTGAGGGGGGAACGACCAATCAGGGAAAAGCACCAGTAGCCAGGTCGGTGGCTCTACGACTGGCTCTGGGGCACAGCAGGAAGGGGTAAAGGTAAACAGGACCTTAGTGACAGGAGACTTGATAGTTAGGGGTACAGACAGGAGATTCTGTGGCAGCAAACGGGAATCCAGGATGGTGTATTGTTTTCCGGGTGCCAGGGTCGGGATGTTTCGGAGTGGCTGCGGAATGTTTTCAAGGGGGAGGGTGAGCAGCCAGAAGTCATTATGCACGTTGACACAAATGATATAGGTAGAAATAGGAATGCAGTCCTGTGGAGCGATTATAGAGAGCTAGGAAAAAAGTTAAAAACCAGGATCTCACCGGTGGTGATCTCCGGATTACTTCCAGTGCCACGTGCTAGTGAGGGTAAGAACAGGAGGATATGGTGGATGAATGCGTGGCTAAAGAATTGGCGCAGGGGTCAGGGATTCAGATTCCTGGATCATTGGGATCTTTTCTGGGGCAGAGGTGACCTGTTCAAGAGGGACGGGACTGGAGGGGGACCAATATCCTGGTGGGCAGATTTGCTAGTGCTGCAAGGGAGGGTTTAAACTGGATTGGCAGAGGGGCGGGATCCTAAATAACAGGGAGGCAAGTGGGAGGCTGGAAGGAGATACATTAATCAGAAATAGCAAATTGAAGAGACAGGTCAGGCTGGAACAGGACAGGGAGTGAGGAATGCCTGTTGGATTAAATTGAATCTATTTCAATGCAAGAGGGCTGACAGGTAAGGCCGATGAACTCAGGGTGTGGATAGGTATGTGGGACTGGGACATTATAGCCATTACAGAAACATGGCTAAGGGAGGGACAGGACTGGCAGCTTAATGTGCCAAGATACAAGTGCTTTAGGCGGGACAGGGGTGGAAAAAAGAGGGGAGGGGGAGTTGCATTTTTGATGAAGGGGAGTATTGCAGCAGTAGTCAGAGATGAAATAACTGAGGGATCATACAGTGAGGCTTTGTGCGTGGAGCTAATAAATAAGGGAATGATGACGTTATTGGGGTTGTACTATAGGCCCCCAAATCATCAATGGGAATAAGAGGAACAAAAATACAGGGAGATTGAGGAGACTTGCAGGAGCAATAGGGTTGTCATAGTGGGGGATTTAATTTTCCTAACATAGACTGCCATAGTGTTAAGAGCTTAGATGGGGTGGAATTTGTTAAGTGTGTTCAGGAAAGTTTCCTCAAGCAGTATGTAGAGGGTCCTACTTGGGAAGGGGCAAAACTCTACCTACTCTTAGGAAATAGGGCAGGTGACTGAGGTGACAGTGGGAGAGCACTTTGGGACCAGTGACCATAGTTCTATTAATTTTAAAACAGTTATGGAGAAGGACAAAACTGGTCCACAGGTTCAAGTCCTAAATTGGGGCAAGGAGAATTTTGATGGAATTAGACAGGAGCTTGCAGTGGTTGATGGAATAGTTTGTTTGCAGGCAAAGGATCCTCTGGCAAATGGGAGGCCTTTAAAAGTGCGATAGCCTGAGTTCAAGGTCTATATGTTCCTGTGAGGGTGAAGGGCAAGGGTGGCAGGAGTAGGGAACCCTAAATGACGAGAGATATTGAGACTTTGACCAGGAAAAAGGAGGCATGGCTCAGGTACAGGCAGCTGGGATCAAGAGAATCCCTGGAGATATATAGGGGATACAGGAGATTGTTGAAGAAGAAAATCAGGAGGGTGAAAAGGCGACACAAGATAACTTCGGCTGAGAAGATTAGGGTGAATCCAAAGAGATTCTTCAAGCATTTTAAAGGAAAAACAATGACTAAAGGGAGAATAGGACCCCTCAAGGACCAAAGTGAACATGTATGTGTGGAACCACAGGAGATGGGAGAGGTCCTCAATGAATATTTCTCCTCTGTGTTGACCACAGAGAAAGACATGAAGAGTTGGGAACTTGGGGATGTTAGTGGTGATATCTTGGGGACAGTCCATATCACAGTAGAGGAAGTGCTGGAAGGATTAGAATATTTGAAGGTGGATAAATCTCTTGGTCCTGATCAGATATATCCAAGAACCCTGCAAGAGGCTACAGAAGAAATTGTAGGGGTCCTGGCTGATATATCTGCATCATCATTAGCCATAGGTGAGGTCCCAGAAGACTGAAGGGTAGCGAATGTTGTGCCCTTATTCAAGAAGGGCTGTAAAGAAAAGCCTGGGAATTATAGACCAGTAAGCTTAACATCTGTACATCCTTTGCTTGCTGTGATCTGCCTGTACCACTCGTAATCAAAGCTTTTCACTGTATTTTGGTACACGTGACAATAAAATCAATCAATCAATAAATCAGGTAGGTGACTTGAGAAGATTCTGAGGGATAAGATATACATGTATTTGGAAAGACAGGGTTTGATAGAAGTAGTCAGCATGGCTTTGTGCGTGGGAGATCATGCCTCACAAATTTGTTAGAGTTCTTTGATGAAGTGGCCAGGAAGGTTGATGAGGGCAAGGTGGTAGACATAGTCTGTATGGATTTCAGCAAGGCCTTTGATAAGGTTCCACATGGTAGGCTGCTCTGGAAGGTTAGATCGCATGGAATCCAGGGAGAGCTGGCAAATTGGACACACAATTGGCTTGATGGTAGGAAGCAGAGAATAATAGTGGAAGGATGCTTGTTGGACTGGACGCCTGTGACTAGTGGTGTGCTTCAGGGGTCAGTGCTAGACCCATTGCTGTTTGTTATCTATATTGATGATTTGGATAAGAATGTACAAGGCATGATTAGGAAGTGTGAGGATGATACTAAAATTGGCAGCATCATGGGCAGTGAGGAAGGTTATCAGAAATTGCAGCAGGATCTTGATCAGCTGGGGAAGTGGGTCAAGAAATGGCAAATGGAGTTTAACATAAATAAGTGT